GTGCCAAGCTATTTGGGATGGGTCTATTGGGATAAAGTGGGTGACGAGAGTTCCGCCGGCTTTTCGACACATGGTACACTGTCAGGAGTGGGGCTGGCAGAATCCAGGGAAGGTAAGATGCTTGAACGATCCTTACCTGTGTAGAAATTTGGGTAGCCAATTGCCCAATAACACTCCAAATGCAGTGTGCACCAGAGTGAATGGATTCAAGCCAAAGCAAGTGGTTGAATGGTTCAATCCAATGAGTATATACAGTACAAATGACTCTACTTATATACTCTATGTGTAGTCAGAATGAATCATAAATAAAAGACTCATAGAGAGTCAAAGACTACAAGGCTATGTAGTTCTGAAAGTCTGTGCAGCAGTTAGTCAGGGATGACAGACGACGACGTTTGTGGCGTCATTACATTCCAGATTTCAACAACCTGGACTGGATATTTCGTTTCGGCTGGGAAGGAAAGTGTATAGCGGATTGAACCACACAGGCAGCCTCCATGGATCGGTTCACGGTGGTCACTCATGGTTGAAGAAAGCGCAGCTATATAAACGTGTGGCAGACACGGGTCTGGAAAAATCGGAGAAAGAAAACCGGAACATGTGATCGCTCAGGATCAAAGCTGCAATGATGTCAATGCGCCACGCCGTCTTACCCAGGGCTGATCCTGGTCCCTTCGGTGCTGAGGTCATTATCATTCCGCCTGCATTATTGAAATAATCACATTAACCAAGTACCGACATTTCCGCCAGAAGACTTTTCGTTTACGACCAGCAACCACTTAAAGAATACAGATTGCGCTGAGTGGAGTACAGCTGTGTTTCGTTAGTGGATGAAAGGATCTTTTCATAAATTTCCTCACATTCCGGTCAAGGTGCGCTTAACCTTGGCGTCTGTAGGATCGCCGCCCGGGAGTATGCCGCAGCATTTCTGACCAATAGGGCCTATAATATTGTAATATTGGTGGTTGATTAGTATCGATGTTGAGAGAGGTCTATTGGTTCGTACATTCCTGAATTATTATGAGCGCAATCCACTGAAAGAAACATGAAAGCACTTACAGAATTGGATACACCTATGAAATAAGAGAGAGTCAGCAATCGAATGGTCCCCATGATCTTTGTTCTTACAAGAAACAGGTGTGGTGTCTCGAGACTCAATCGGGTTGGCAGCTGTGTTCATCGCGGCGAGCACGAAAAGCTGGAATACGAGTTGGTGGAAGTTGACTCTCATGTTGTGAAACCTGGGATTCAATGTTAAACTATAGCTTTTACTGCCATATTTAAGTAAAACAGTTTCAGGCACCCGCTGTCATGTTGTGAGCCCATTTCAAACTCGACAACAGGTCACCGGAGTTTCAGGGACCCTAGAACAATCTAGTGCGCCAAGCATCTACCCTTGGGCGCAGCAGTTTATGTACGGGCTGATATTCTTTCATTAATCCCAAATTAGCAGGCTGCAAGTCAGGAAGGAATGTAATGAGTCAGAGATATGTGGCGCATCAATTGAACAAAGGAAGTCCTAGGACTCAGACAAGACTGAGCATCCAACTCTCACATCCCAGGTATTCAGTTATCTCGTAACAGACAGGGCCGACTTGCTGAAGTCCCCGTTGCCGTCATTGGCAACCGTTTCATACCGTCTAATCGAGCTTGGCGAGTCTCGGGCGGTATGTATACATAGCGTTGATTCTTAGTTCGGAGTTCGATTCCATAAGAGATTCCGAGATACAAAAGGTTTACTTATTCTCAATAACCGTTGTATTATATTGTGTGATTGCAAAAAGACTTGTTCGATTGTTCAGAGATTGACATCTCGACTTTCTTCCAAACATGTACGGTCTAGACCTTCCAAGGCTAGCCTGGTGAGAATAGTTGAAACGATAAAGCATTGATCCACGGTGTGAGATTGTGCGACGACTCTAGCTTTGAGATTTCATTCATTGAATTATTCAGGTCTTTCTTCGACTGTCATGAGCAGGAGTTAGCCTATGTGCTTCCAACAGGACACAAATTTGATCAAGTCTCGGAACAAAATGATGTCATTGTAAGGTAAGTACAGTGCATACGGTTAAAGAGCTGGGAGCTATTCGGGACGTAATTCTGGTCAGAGAATTTGGAACCAGAACAACCATTCGGATCAAAACTGACCAAGTTCACCGGACCTGTTTCCTCGCTTTCCTGCAGTCAAGGCTTGAACCTTGAGCATCCTAGTCATTTATTCTGGATTTGGAAACCTTGAATTCATATCTGATCGGCTGTGGAGATCGGTGAGACCGGGTTAGTTGATCGACAGATGTGGCGCACTTCTGGCACTTCCTGTATGATTTCTCTCGCTAATTTCTGGTAAGATGGCCGAGCGGTCTAAAGTGTGTGAACCAGGCATAGCTTGCCTGGATTCGCGGGTTGATGACCATGCGCCCGTCTTAGTGAGACAAGAGCTATTACTCTGATACCTAGGGATGGTCCTGGTCCCTTCGGTGCCGAGATCATTGGTATTCCGCCTGCATCATTCAAATAATCGCATTAACCAAGTACCGACATTTACACCAGAAGACTTTTGTCTACCACCTAAAGAATACAGATTGCGCTGGGTGGGGTACAGCTGTGTTTTGTTAGTGGATGAAAAGACTATCATTGACGATTTCCTCACATTCCGGTCAAGGTGCGCTTGACCTTGACGTCTGAGACGCTAGGACCGCCCGGGAGTATGCCGCAGCATTTCTGACCACGAGGACCTATAATGTCGGTGATCGATTAGTATCCATATTGTGAGAGGTCTATCGGTTCGTACATTGCTGGATGATTATGAGCAATCCATTGAAAGAAACTTGAAAGCACTCACGGAATTGGATACACCTGTAAAATAGAAAGAATTAACAGTTGGATGCTCCGTATGATCAGCGCTCTTACAGGAAATAGATGTAGTCTCTCGAGACTCGATCGGGTTCGCAACTGCGTTCATCGCAGCTAGGACGAAAAGCTGGAATACGAGTTGGTGGAAGTTGACTCTCATGTTGTGAAACCCGGGATTCAATGTTAACCTTTGTCTTTTGCTGCCATGCTATTTAAGTAAAACAGTTTCAGGTACCCGGAATCCATTTCAGACTAGACACCTGTACCCCGTCAGGAAAGTGAACAGCCACAGGTCACCGGAGTTTCGAGGACCCTAGAACGATCTAGCGTGCCAAGCCGCTGCCATGGGCGCAGTAATTTATCGTTTGATATCCTCTTCATTGATCATGTATTTATTGGCATAGTGCAAGAAGGAATTCAATCGTTCAGAGACTCTATGTGGCGCATTCATCGAACAAAGTAAGTTTTGGGATTCACCCAAGACTTTGTTGAACATCCAGACTTGACTCTGGAATATCCAGTGTACCCATAAACAGAAAGCGCAGACTTCTGAAGTTCCCGTTGCCGCCATCAACCGTTCCATACCGTCTAATCCAGGTTGGCGAGTCTCGGGCGCCATGGCCCATGGATAACGTCGAGTCTTGGTTCGAGGATCATGAAACGCGTGCCATTCGACCCTTTAGGAGACTCCAAGGTACGAATGGTTTATTGTCGTGAGCTGTCTAGCTGCCGGAACATGACACCAGTCAAGACCTTTCAAAGAATAATATACCAGTATATCCTGCCGAGTCGCAGTCGGCTCCAGTACGTACATTGGAACTCTCTCAGACTGTCATTGTCATGAGGAAGAGTAAGTATATACTGAAGGATGCAATATTGTTATCAATTCTCCACACAGAATTATAGATCTAGTACGATGCGGGGAGCTTTTCAGGACATAATTCTGGTCAGAAAGTTTGGAACGGTGACAGGCCGGAACATAGCCACAGCTCTTTCGGATCAAAACTGACTAAGTTGTACCGAGACCTGCGGCAGCTTGTCAGGGGCTGTCAGGGGTCAATAGGCTTTAATCTAGAGCATGCTAGCTTTACTATCGTGGGACCGGATATGCAAATCCGATCCGACCGGTCTAGATATGCAAATGCTCGTTTTTCGAGCACTTGCGGTACTTCAATTGCCCCAGGAAAATCAGAGTCTGTAAATAAACCATTCAGCACTAGCAATGTAAATTCTTGGAGAAATCCAGCAAGAGACGGTTGAATTAAAAATGCAACAGTCCTGAGAATCAGAGTTGCAAAACCAATACCTTGGTGAGTGCCTTGGAATTGACGATATTTGGGGCTCTTTTTGGGGCAGAATCATTGAGAGATGGTCTTCAAAAGATCCAAGAATTTTTTATTTCAGGCAAAAGCACCGAGGAAAGGCCCGGGAATCAAGATTCGAGCATAGGCCTGCAAAAGAGCGTGACAGATGCTGCCGGATTTCAAACGCCGTCGGCTTGTGGCCCTTCTCATACACTACCATCATCTCCAGGAGGTAAATATTATTCATTTTGTTGTTCTGATACATTCAACATATGTTTATCCATCTCTCTGATCATAATTCTGCTTCAACTGTGGCACTCTGGGGCCAAACCCACTGGGATGGACATAGGCTAAAAGAATTAGGCAAACAAGCGGAAAAGAAGGCCCAATCAGTGTAGATCTCAATGAACCAGGAATCCTTCATGATTCACCCAAAATGGGTGTCAGTGCGCACCGTAAAACTGTTGTCGAACAGTGGGCCTGTGATCGGCATCCTGTCGGAGTCTCAAATGTGATGCGATTTGCAAAATTTGCAAGTGTGACATTGCGTGACGACATTTGAATATCCTAGTCCCGACGTCTCCAGGTGGCTACAACACTGGAAAAAAATAATTGACTTCATATTCAGTGTTTCTACAGTCCATATTCCATATATTCCAAGTTTCGCAGCCCCAGCTAACACGGTTCAAGAGTTCCCAGGATGATTTGCATATCTGGGCTCGTGATAGTATTATCCCGATTCCCCTCTCAGCTCATGTCTGATCGGCGTAATGATCGGTGAGATTAGTTGATCGACAAGCAAATGTGGCGCTTCCTAGATGATTTCTTTGCTTTTTCTTCTATGGCAAGATGGCCGAGCGGTCTAAGGCGTGTGACTCAAGCGTAGCTTGCCTGCATTCGTAGGTCTTCTCATCTTCGTATGAAGGCGGGGGTTCGAATCCCCTTCTTGTCAGTTTTTTAGAACATTGTGTAGCGTGAGTTCAAATCCCCTCCTTGTCATTCTTTTCACCATCATCTTTGGCAGGTTTGGCGGCTTCTTTACATCCAGAGCTATCTTTGATGCACCTAGATCTCTTCCAGTGGCCTTTAAATCATTAACGAAGCTTCCAAGCCCCAAACTCATGATGATCCAAGAGACTTGGAAAGGCAGAAGTCGGCCGATCCATGTTGAACTCCAAGCATCACTGGCACTCACACCAAGCTTTTGAGGACACCGTCTTCATCGAATCTACCTTTCTGTTTCATTTTAGAGCACAAGCGAAGCCCTCGACAAGTACCATGAGTCTCACGAAGAGATGTCTCGACACTCTCATCTAATGGGTATAAACATCGTCAACCGAGATCTTGTATGGATTTCTCACCTTTCAGATCCAGTGGTTGTGGCTGTTACGGTATCCAGGGCGCTCAGTTCATTTACCTATATCAAAGTCCTGGAAGGAATATTCCCCGTACCACTACTATCCATTTAGAGCCGCTTGAACGCGTAGCGGAGCGTGATGAGAGAAGAGGCCGACAGGGTGGACAGTGAATTCAACAGACATCCTAGTCCCATGGATTGACTCGAGTTCAAACCAGAGAGAATACCTCATTGCTATGAGATGAAAGACATGTAATTATATTGTCCCGACAAGTGCACTCCGGCCGCTGACTGCATCAAGACACAGAGCCACTTGATGAGACAAAAAAATTACAGAACACGCCTAAGCGAGTAGCGCCTTTGACAGTAATTACCACTGGTATCAGTCAAAAAGTTGAGCCATTAACATAGATTCCGCAGGAGCGCTTTTGACTCTTGAATCCAATACATGCTGACCATAGCACCCCATAAATCCATGCCTTCATCACACGCTAGATCTCCTCAGGGGTCGTTTTTCTGAATCCGCTGTGATCCATCATCTGGCAAAGCTCTCATTTGACATCTTGGAAATCTCCTACGCTTCGAAGGTGCATTATAGTCATGTTATTTCAGGAGTCGCACACCTTTCAACGCGAAGAATTCCAAGAAAGTTGGCCTGAACTTGTTCGCACTGAAATGAACTGCCCTTCGACGCATCAATTCTCCAAGACGGTACTAATACCATGATGTGCTGCCACGACCGCTCAGCCAGAATAAATTAAAGGCGTTTTCACAATTTTACCACCATCTTTGACAGGTTTGGCAGCTTCCTTACAACAATCCAAGAGACTTGCAAAGAGACAAGTCTTTCCTGCGAGATCCTCTTTCTCAGCCTCGTCTACAAGTTTTATCCGACACGCGAACATCACATTCCATCTAGAACTTGTCCCAATATGCCAGGGATAGTGAAAATTCTGAGTTAATGTCAAAGCGACACTCACGAAATAATGTGCGTGCACCAGCGAAGGAGCTTCAACTGGTACCAAGGTATGCTTTTGACAACGCAAGACCTGAAGCTCTCGAGTCGCTCGGTGCACCTTTCGACTCGATCAGATCCTGATATAGTGCGCTATGCAGAGCGTTCAATCTATCCGAGTGTTTCTCACAGTTCATCAACCTTTGTCGAGGCCTGGAAATTGTGTTTTCTTGAACGAATGGGAACTAGCGGATCAGCTTGGCGGTTGATGCGGTTGGCTACTTTGACTGTTCACGATGTGAATATACGGAAAGACACTCACCAACCGAGCTATGGTCTACGACGAGGTCCGACGATTCTGTAACTTGCCTTATCATTATTTAGAGGCTCGCCGTACTGAGCAAAATGTTTTCGGCAGGGCAACATCCTCAAACATCCGAGATACGCCGATAATCGTGGATGGGGCCTCGAAGCTCTTTGGAGATCCATTTAAATACGATCACAGACAGCCATGTGTATGCACCTTGAGATGTTCTCCTTCATTCTCTCGTTGTCGGTGGCAGGCTCCGATAGTAGATGGAAAGCACCTGAGCGAAACGATTGCATAGTCCATGCCCTGGATTGAATACGTGAGCATATTCTATTTTTCATGGTTATTTTGCGTCTCATCGCAATACTCCAGACTTGCGAATCATGGATATCTCCCGAGAGACAGCCGAAATGATTCTCGATCCCAGTTCAGGTTCGTTCTGGACGATCTGCCTTACGACCCTATCCTGATCACAATTTAGTCGTGTACAACATTCAATAGAATGAGATTGTCAGCAATGCTCAATGGTCGCCAGAACCTGGTACGGCGGATCCTTCCATTGTCATCGTTCCCGCAGAGGGTACAAACATTGTATTCTGAATGCAACATACCTAGTTTATTCAAACCCTTTTGACTTGAAACATAAAAAAACTAAGATACTTTCATTTCCAGATCTTCTTGAGGTGTTCCCTCATCTGAGAGGGAGCTTCAAGTGGTGATATACCTTTCTATTCCATTTTGAAAAGTATATATACGCAAGACTCCAAGCGCCCGAGAAGTATCACGAGTCTGCACTGCCGTACACTCTAACCTCAAAAGGACACGGTCTTGTGCAGAATCCATAGGGCTTCTAATAGGGTGTGTACAAACATCATGGTTGGATCACAAAAGATAGAAAGACCTGAACTCGTGGCTTTGCCGCTCGAGTCTTGAGTCTTTCAGATCTTGGAATAATATAGCCAGCCCTTGGACCATGCTACATTCAGAAATCATATCCGTTATCTCGAGCGTTCATTATATTTGGAATCTCTCTCACAGTTCACTAACCTTGCTCGACATGCTGGAAATTGTATCTGTGTCTTTTCTTTCTCACACAGCCAAAATAGTAAGCGCCATAATTCCAAGCCACCGATTGACGCCCATTTCCAGGGTCCCGAATTAGACTAAAAATGGCACGTTGTGTGTATATAAAGCGCCCGAGGCAGCTTTACTTTCTCCCATCGACCATCATGAGCTCCCACCGTGGCCGCGGCGGCTACGCATCCCGTACCTCTCGTCCATTTGGCTCTACAGCTCCTACAGGCAATTTACCCTCTGACAGAAATCTCAATGAGGGTTTGAAGCCAACATCCCTCCGAACTCTTTCAGTCCCTTCTATCTCCGAAACCGACAAAAAAGTCGATATCACAGACTTGAAATATCTGGGCTCGTACAACTGGGTCAAAGATCGCAATACTCCCACTATAATCGTACCAGGTTTGATATCAATTATTCTTCAACTCTGCTATGCTCAAACCTTTGTAGGTTCTCCAGCAGAATGGCAGGACAAATCAACGCCATACCAAGTCCCAGCCGACGTTGGCACTTTCTTCGTCGACCAAAATGGATTCCACATGCCCAAGGCTGTTCTTGCTCCCTTGGTCACTGCTGTCGAGATCCAGGCCGAAGATGCTGGAGAGGTCTTTGACTGGTCTCAAGTCGATGTCGTCACCGATCGCAATGGTCTCCGAAAGCTCTTGCGCTGGATCGGTGGCGTACCCGATATCAAGCCATTCCGAATCGACTTGCAGCTCGCTGGTAAAAAGACAGTTTTGTTCAATCGCTGGGAGAAGAGATACCGCGAAAATTTCTCGGGCTTTACCTTTGGGTTTAATTTCGAGAAAGCTTCGACGTTGAATGCTAAAGATTGTGAGGAGGCCGCGGCCCATCATAGAATCGTATCTTATGTGAGTAACTCTATGAACTTTCAGAATACCGCGCTGAAAGACTTGATAGGACATGAATGGCTTGAAATTGGTCGTTCGTTTCGAAGTCGATGCCTGTATTCCTACTCCTGTGTCGAAGCCCAAGACTTCAGGGAAGGGTGTTAGCATCGACGAGCTGACCAGCAGTCTTGCTGGAACCACTATCACTAAATCCCTTCCTAGTACCGTCTCCAACGGTATCACAATCCTCAAGGGCGGAGTCGTTAGAGCTCAATCTTCTATAGTCGAGCTCACGACCATCGCTGAAAGACGTAGAACCTTGTTTGACTGGACCGAAAATTACGGACAGCTCTATCTCTCTCAGACACCATTCCATTTCCTTGCGGTACATAACCGTGGAAGATTCATCCAAATCGAGAAACGGCAGCTGGGAAAAACATCAGAGTTGATGGATGTTGCTGATGACATGCAGCGCACGATGCGTAAGTTGCGAAGAGCTTTGGAAATCATCCAGAAGCTGGTTATCGAGCATGGAGAGCGAGGCCGATTGACTTTGATTTGCGAAGCCAATGCTCAGATGAAAGTCTTTGAACGTATGGATCAGACAAGCTGTCTTCCAGCGGAGTTGATTGCAAAGTTCGAGTAAAGTCTTAGCTAGTACAGTACGTGAATTGAATGTTCATTGATCTCATGCAGATCGTGAAATAGAAAAGAATTGTCCTCAAATGTCCCAGAGCTGGTTCGGATTTCCCGTCGCGCATTGCCACGTCTGAGTCCGTCGTCCATTCGTGAGGTCTCCGTCCGTAAGATCGAGACATTGCCCTATGAACCATGTAAGTTTCAAAATAACGTAGCTTTTCTTGACAAACCTTGATTGTAGAGCGTCAGAGACTTCTGAACACCGTCGTAGAACCACGTCTGCGCAGCGAGATTATCGAAGCATTGCCAAATCTTCATACCGACGCCATTTCCTGGAGCTAGAAAGCGTGAGCGATCGAACATCCCTATTGGAAGAAACACTCACTGGATCCAGCATCGAGACAAAAGTTTGTACCTGTAACCTTGACAGATCCCTTTCCGCGTTTGATGTCCCATTTTTGCGCCTGAGTCCCATTGCAATCATAACTATTCCTGTCAAATTAGTTGGTTTTCGTCGAGAACAAGTCGACTTGCATTTGTACTGGGGTTCCATTGGCAAAAACACCTCCACGGACATCGAGACACTTGTTTGAATGTCCAGTAGGCTGTATAGTGCTAGCCCCAGTTTGCAAGTTCGGTATAGTGCCTGACGGACAAAATCTATACAGCTTCATCAGGATAATGTTTCAAGAATCGGAAGGAAACAGACGTTACGGTGTATCCCGTACCGGTTTGAGGACATTCGAACAGAGGAGCGTTTGGAGGA